TTCCTTGTTTACTGGTTCCAAAGCGACAAACAACATATTTCTCTTAGGCTGAAAAAGATGATTTCATTATAAAAATGAAAAAACAGTTAAAACTAAAGGAGAAAAATAAAACAATTCCTGGAAATACACCATTCTCAATATGTGACAAAGTAGTAATATACGTGGATAGGGTAGTAAAGCCTTTTTCTCTTCAAAAAAGGATTTTGAAGGAATTTCATTTAGATCACCTGGGAATATCATATAGGAAATCTCTAATGTGAAGTTATACATATTGGTCATGGATATAGATCAGGATATTGAGAAAGTAGTGAAAAACTGCAAAGGTTGTGCCCTTGCAACAAAATCCCTACCAGTGAAATTTCAACTATGATCCAAAACAGAAAAAGCCATGGTCCATACTACACAGATTTTGTCTATATTTCTGAGATGAGGTATTATGTACAGTATTTACATTAGTCGGACTATTGTCCTCATCTTTGTCGCCATATTTGTCATGTATGAGGGCCGTTGTATACTCCGGCCTTCTTCAGGTGGTTGGAATTTCGAACTGAACCTTTATTTTGATCACTGGGGTAGACTGTTCTAATTCCACGTGCCATGTTTGATGGATGTCAGTTATCAGTTATCTTTTGAAAGTTCTCCACTGCCTTAACCTTAAATTATATACAGTTTCTAGTTTAAATTATATACAGTTGACAGTTTAGATATTTTTGAATGGGTTTGGTGTCATGCTTGAGATTATATTAAAGTCTCAACCAGGAATTGAACTCACCTTCTTTGGGTCTGTCACTGGATCTAACCAACGCCTTTATCCACTGTGCCATGTGTCTGGGTATGAACTCTTGAGTATTATAAACCTAATGTTTTTCAGCAAAGCATCATTTTTACCAGTGCTCATATTGCAATTTTTGCTGTTATCATTGCATGTTTTACCAGAGTTCATATTGCAACTTTGTTATCATTGCTTTTCTCTGGCATCCTTATTACTGGTTCCCTATATTGTATTTATTTCTATGCTTGGTCGGCTCAGGAGATTTTTGTGGCCTAGCATATAAAGGAGAGACAGGCCGCCCCCTCAAGGTAAGGCTTCAAGAACACCAGAAAGCTGTAACACGAGGGGAAGTAGAAAAATCAGGCGTGGCTGACCACATATGGAGAGAGAAGGGAGATCACCGCCCCCTGTGAGATCATGTTGAGATCATAGACAGGGAACACCATTGGAAAATTCGTAAACTTAAGGAATCAGCACATATGCACATTATAGTTATATTTCAGCCAAATTATTGTTGGCCATCTTCATGTGTTGATTATTTTGGCTGATAAGGGATTTAATAGGAGTAGATAATTTCACCTTTCACCCAGTTCCCACTCCTCCCCTTTCTTTTGAACAGGAGTAGAAATTTATCCCTTGTTACCTGTTTAGGACTGGGTTTTCAGTTCCTTCTAAAGTCTACTTTAACTCTATACTTCTAACATCTCCGCATAAACTCTGAAATTTTATTTACTATTTATTTACTTTATTTTTCCCCTCAATAAGAATAGATAGATTTGCCTATTGTCCAGTTCACACTCTTCCCCGGTTTTTTTATTCCTTTTTTAGAATTGGGTTTCCAATACCTTCTAAAGTCTTTTCCTTCTCTTTCACTTCCAACAGACCCTTGCATCTTAGTAGCATTATCACCTTACTTGGGGTGAATTGAGTAAAAAAATATATTTTATTTATTGATTTTATCTCTGTGATGGTAATGATAATAATAACTATTTTGCTGCAAGGAAACATTTGGCATTCATTGACCAAGCAGCCAGTGCTGCTTTCAGTTGAAATTTATATAGTCTTTTTCTTAAAACAATTTTTCAGGAAAACAGGTTTCTCAAGTCAAGTAACAGTTATCATTCTTTCCAGTATTGATGGGGGTTTCCTTCCTAACCTTTTATTTGAAGTAGTGTGTACTGTTAACATCTAGATTATGCCATCATTTTCTCTTACAGTTATATGTGCTATATATTTTTTATTGCTGCTGCTGATGGTAGTCCCTAAGTAATGTGGTATCTCTTATTCAGTACAGTTCTTTGTGAATATGTAGTGCCAGCCCACAATTTTCAAGGAGGGATGACCTTTGCAAAGACTCCGACTTTGTTTGCTCAAAGCCCTTTTTCAATGTTAATCTTAGGAAATTATATACAGTTGACAGTTTAGATATTTTTGAATGGGTTTGGTGTCATGCTTGAGATTATATTAAAGTCTCAATCTAACAAGGCTATTTAAGAACATGACGAGTTATCAGGTTGATGTTTTAGTTTTGTGGCAATTTGTGGGTTTGGGTGAAATACCTCTAGTGCAGCCTATTCTATGTTTAGTTTCCTTTTCTTATATACTAGATTTGTTATAACTGAACCATACACTGAGGTAGGCTGTTTGTTATTCCTGCCTGCTGTATCTATAATCACATCTATAATATAGATGAGAACAATAATTTAAATAAATCATTATTCAATAACGATTCCTCATCATTTAGAATTGGGATTCTGGTTCCTTCTCAACTCTATACTTTTAATGTCTGCCTAAAATTCTGAACTTTTATCTACTTTTTTCTTTTATTTATCTTCCTTAACAGAAGATAGGTTTGCCTGTCTTTTGAACAGGAGTAGAGGTTTATCCTTTGTTTCCTGTTTAAGATTGTGTTTCCAGTTCCTTCTACAGCTCTTTTTTCTTCCACTTACAGTGGCCCCTTGCATCTTGGTGGCATTATCACCTTGCTTAGGGTGGTGCCTCTGTAACCCTCTGCCTCTAGTGGCTCTTGGGCCTTTTACAGGGTGAACATCATTGTAAAAAAAAATCAAGCAAAAATTATGGGAATATTTCATCTCAGAGTTCAAATATTGATTGATTGATTGATTGATTTTTATGCCTTATCAACTCTTTGCAGGTTATTTAAAGCCAGAAAATATTTTTACATTGTAAGAATTTTTTTTTGAGATAATGATTTTTTACTGATAACACAAATCAATCAATCTTTTGAAAATTTCCTTTCCATGTTCACCAAACCTCCTGATCAGAGGCCTTGCTGCCAGATGTAGTTAAATTGGGTTAATTTTATTATTATTATTGAATATCTGATAAATTTGTTCAGGAAGAGAAAGTCCCTTTGACTTGAAGTGAGCTAGTAAATTAGTTTTGAAAAAAGCATTCAACCTTCAATATTTAGGAGATTCTTTGAAATCCAGAGGATGGCCTCCATTCCTTTGGCCTAAATTGTATATGTAATAATGCGATCAAAGACCAACAGTTTGGCACTGCCCTCTGGATTTAATAATTAGTAAGTATCATACCTTCTTAAGTTTAATTAACTCCTACTAAGTTAGAATGCTGAAACTAGTTAACCCATTAGTGCATGGCTTCCAATTTCTTTAGAGAATGGGTTATTTAAAATTTATAATCCACCAACCGTAAGATTACCATTAGCCAGCTAAGTAGATTAGGCAAAAGGAGCTGAAATTTTCAGGAAACTTTATGCAGTAATAGATTAATTTTATTATTATTATTATTATTATTATATATATGATAAAACCCCTCAGGAAGAGAAAGTCCCTCTAGCCCAATGTGAGGTAATAAATTAATTTTGAAAAAGGCACACAATCTTCAATTATTAGGCAATTCTTTAAAATCCAGTGGGTGGCCTCAAACTTTTGGCCTGTAGAATATATCTATGAAATGTATAAGTTATGCAATAACATTGACGGTTGGAAGAAAATGTGTTTACATGTAAATTATTTTTGCTTGAAAAGAAACTTACACCTTTTTGGAGATTTCTAATTTTCCTTCACTTTCAAGAGACATTTTCAACTTTTACAAGATGGAGGCAACCACAAGACAAGAAACAACAACAACAATTACTTTTCTTAAATTTCAGTGAATGTTATTTTAAATTCTATTTTCTATGCAAGTCACGTATATATAAATGTGTAACCAATTACTATCATTGTCTTAGTTGCCCCCTCTTCTAACCCCATTCTGCAGTGTCCCATTGTTTACTTGAAACCAAAGAAAAAGAAATTAAAGAAAAAAAAGTCCATCAACAGGGACGGGTGGAATATTAATTATATTTAGGGAAGTTAATCTAAATATCAGTTACAAGTCAAATAAATAAGATTTGTGGAAACAGATGGATGTTTTTTTGTTTTTTTTTGTTTGTTTGTTTGTTTTTCAAACAATTTGCATGTTTATACCAGTGGACGCAGATCAGGATTACCTTCTTTACTCCCTATAGTCTTCCAGTGACATTATCTACATATGTATCTCATTTTGAAAAGAATTAAAGCAAGAATTGGTTTTAATTGTAAATATTTGGCAGTTAACTCAAAATTGTTGGTTGAGCCATCTCAGATTACGTGTTCGTCTCGTTTGGTTAAATTAGTTTTGATTCATATTTAGTCCACAGGCTTTGGAACAATGGGAAAATTGAATTTGGGTAACTGAAACTCTTGAAATTGTTCAAGAGTTCTGATTCAAATCAGATGAGTCATTTCAGCCAATATAGTTGTTTAAATGTTGCAAATTTAGATTTTACTCTTTGAATGTCAAGGAAACATGGGAAGTTAACAACAGCTTGCTTTTTCTAGCAGTTGTAACTTTTATACATTGATTAATTTGGACCATTTTCTTTGTTCTTGCTGTTTTTATTGTGATGTCTTCAACAAAGAACTCTCTGGCTTTCTTGATTGATTCATTGATTTTTTTTATAGCTTATCAACCCTTTACAGGTTATTTAAATCCAGAAAATATCTTTAGATTGTCAGAATTTTTTTCTTTTTTTTTAGAAATAATAATAATAATTTAGATTTACTAATTAATCCATAGCTAGGGGGAGAAGTTGTGGGTTCATATCTTTCCCAATGATAATTGCATGTAAATGAATATAATGAACCCAACTGGAATTGGAACTCAACTCTCTGATTAACAATTCTGATCCATTATCTATTACATCACCTGCAAATCCAAGATTACAGCACATTGTATTCCCTGACAGTCACCCATCTAGGTACTGACCAAGCACAATGTTGCTTAATTTTGGTGATCATACAGGAACCTGTGTTTCAACATAATATGGCTGTAACCCCTTTCTGGCTTTCTTGCACATCAACTGAGATATGAAAATAAGGAAACTGGACTGAATATATCCATGTATAAGAGTAGCAACATGGGGCAGTAAATAGCTTGTCAATTTTAATGCTTCCAAATGAAACTGCTCTCTCTTTTAATTGTCTTAGAGAACACTTTTTACCTTCCATCAACATGGCTGATGCTAACCTTCAGGTGAGTAACTTATTGCACCTTTTTCGGTTCAAGGTTTTCCATTGACATGAAAGGAAATGACTATATTGAATCATTTGCTTGCTCTGCTAATGGAAGAGTTGGTTCATTGTGTTGTTCTAAACAATTCTTCTTGCAATCTTTCTTACACCTTTTTTAAGTCTACTATTAATCTGTGCTTTAAATATTGCTGCCACATCTGGCCTGGTGTTTCTGCTCTATATATCTAGAGTTTTATACCAAATTCAAAGAATCAGCAATGTTGTCAGTCTTGACCTTGCATCTTGGTTTCAGTCACTTTCCCACTGCTGTAACATAGCTTTCCTGTGCTTTTTCTACAAATATTTTCACGGTAATTGTTCTGATGAACTTTCAACTTTAGTACCTTGACTTCATAAATTTAAGTATGTTGTTAACTGGTGTAAAAATAAACTGCTCTCCATTAATCATCTGAGAGACCCCAGGACACTGACTTGTTGCAACTTCTTGGCCTAACATTCTCAGTTGACATGAAGTGAAAAGACTATATTGAATCCATTGCTAGGTTAGCTGTTAAGAAAGTTGGTTCTGTGTGTTGTGCAAAACAGTTTTACTTACTTTTTATCTTACATATCTATAAGTCTCTCATTTTTCCATGCTTAGAATATTGCCGCCACATATGGTCTGGTGCTCTAGCTATTTATCTAGAGCTCCTTGATAAAAATCCAAAGAAGAATCATCAATATTATCGGTCCTGATCTGGCAGCTCTGCTTTAGTCACTTTCCTACCACTGTAAGGTTACCTCCCTATGCCTTTTCTATGAATACTTTCATGGTAATTGTTTGGGTGAACTCTTCACTATGATGCCTAGACTTTTTTTAATTTAAGCACAGTACTAGACTGGTGTCGAGATCTCATTAATTTACAGTTGAGTTGGCTAGATGTAATCATTAATTCTATGCTGGCATTTTTCGCATTTCTTGCTTGTGGAACTCCCTTCCAACTCCATGCTTGCCAGCCAATTTTAACCTTCAAAAATCTAAATGCAATATCAAATCGCTATCTACTGTCATCATGATTACTCTTTTTATTCTCACTCTTTAGTAATGTTTTTGTTTCTGATTCTTCCACACCTAGTAACACTTTTACTGCCTTGCTTGGGGTGAACTCGATTAAAAAGAGAAACATGCAGCATTAGATTGGTAGCCATGTCTCGTCATTTTACTGATGAAATTACTACATGTAACTGTATGCTCTATGCCAATAATTTCTTTTCTCACATTTCTTGTTTCTTCAGGTTTCTTGCTTTCCTGTCAACTGTGGTCTTAAAAAAGTTAAATGCAATGTTCTATCTCCTAGAATCCAGATCTTTTCATGCTCTCTCTCTTTAAGAATGATTTCTCTTTGGTTCTTTCACTTTCAGCAACCCCCTTGTGTCTTAGTGGCTTTATTGCCTTGCTTGGGGTGAAATGATTAAAAAATAAATGGTAATGGTGAGATTAGCTGTTTCCTTATTAGCTGCAAATGCCTAAACTTGTGGAACATAAAGAATGGACAAATAGATCATCAATCAAAAATGAAGATCTTGACTATGGTGTTGATTAAGTATGACAGACAAAATGTGTACTGGCTAATTTCAGGATATTAACAGTAAACCTTTCTTGTATGTTGTTATTGTCAGTTTGACCATTTATTGATCATTGTGGTTAATGGTCAAGTACATTCTAACTTGCGTACTTTTCTTTCACATGCAAACTAAGTTGTCAAAGCAAAATTTCTTGGTTTTGCGGTATTTTCCAAATCCCAGATAAGAATTCCTCACATTTATATATATATATATTTTTCAGAATATATAATGTGATATGTATAAGATGCACCCTTATTTTGAAGATAATTTTTGGGAAAAACAACAGCTACAATCATATTTTAAAAATTTTATTGAACAAAAATTCAATCTGATAATATTAAAAATTAGTATGCATTGTTCTAAGCAAAAAAGAGCTAAATACAGTACAAGAAAGGTTTACTGTTAATATAAAAAAAAAATTAGAAAGGTTTGCTATATATTAAAAAAAAAAAAAAGGTTTACTGTATTAGGAAAAATGTTTATATACAATATGATAAAGAAAGGATTGGCAATATGAGAAAGAAAAGGTTTACTGTTAAAATTAAAAAAAAATAATAATTTTTTTACTATAAAATTAGCTATTTTTTTTTGAAACATTTAACATTTGTTGATTGAGCTTTTTAGTACTACTTTTGGTTGAAAAAAATAAAATCTTTCTATTAAAACAATTTTTTCAGCAGAATAGCTTTATCAATGGCCCAGTAATTATTATCACTTTTTCCAGTATTAATGGAACCTTCATTCCTAGTTTTCATTTGAAATAGTTGGAACATCAAAATATTGATTATGTTAATTGGAGTTTCTCTTTCAAGTTACATGTGATAACCATTTTAAAAGTTGTTGATGTTGTTGAATATCCTTAAGCGATGTGGTATCTCTTATTTGATACAATTGTATGTTTGTGATTCTGTAACACTAGTTCCTGAATTTTGAAAAGGATGGTCCTTGTTAAGACCTACAGACTTCATTTGCTAAAAGCCATAAAAAAGTGGAAAAGCAAAAAAAGCTTGAAATCTTGTAATAAACATAATTAAAATGAAGGACTAGTCTGAGTGAATCAATGTATAAGAAAAACAATACTTTTGACCTCAAATGAAGGCTGAAATACTGTGATAAAAAACAATGGAAATGAATAGAAACTGTGAATGAATTAGAGTAATTGGCAAAATGCTCAACAAACAGAATTGACAAAGTTTACAAGAAATAAATAATAAGAAAATAAAAAGACCTGGGTGAAAATAATAATAAGAGTGTATATATATATATATATATATATATATATACAACACACACACACACACACACACACACAGATACAAGACAATTTATCAAAGCTAAACAGCAATAAGGATAATAAAAAGTTCACAAAGTAAGAATGCTGGTAACACGCAATAGGGATACAGACAAGTGATTGTAGCATTCTGACTTCAAGACAAGAAAAAACAAAAATATGGGGGATAAGACCGAGAAGTGGCCTATTTTATTGGATAGGAAGAAATCCCAGCATGCATCTGTATGGTTTGTCTATAAATTTGTGGAGAGGTAACATTTTTGGAGTCATTCCAACAGTGACTGGAACCAACAATGAATCAATGTACAAGAATAACAATTCATATCAGAAATAAAAGCTGAAAAAGAAAAGTGGCAGAAATGTACTAAAAAATAACAAAGATACAGGACTGGTCTGAATGACTGAATACATAAAAGTAAAAACATCTTTGCTATTTGTACAGTTTAGTTAGTTTGGCACAAGGTCAATTGAAGTGAATGAAAATTGTATTCTACTAATCATCTTTTGCTGGAGCAACTTTCTCTTTGGTGTATCACACTTTGAAATGCATGCTTTTACCTTTGCTTAGATATCAAATTTTGCTTTTAGTGAAAAATATGTAATGGTTTCTGCCATTTTTATAAAGACTTCAATTATTCTGACACATGACCAATGGAGGGAAATGAGGGATGGAAGATTGTTATACCTAGAAAATCTGCATTTAAAATCTTAACTTTTAAAGGGTGTCACATAATTATTATACGATGTTTCAAATTAGATCTCTTTCAAATTCACTCTACATCAAAACCGGTTGGAAAGATGTTTCTAAGAAAGCAAAAAGAAAAATACACTACAAACAAAAAGCTTGAGGTCATTTTTTTTTTCTTTTATAAAGTAAAAGACAAGATTTCAGTACACTCAGTGAATTGTTTTTTTTATTCTTCAGTCTTTCTCCAGGCTTTTTTTTTTTTTTTTTTTTTACTATCAAAAAATTCATGTGGGCAGCAAGGAAGTTTTAAGGAAAATGGGAACAAAAAGGACATTTTGCTTAGTATCAGAAAGAGACACTTGAAATTTCTGGGACAGATAGTGAGGAAAGAGTGTTTGGAAAATCTAACACTCAAAGGACATATTGAAGACAAGAGAAAAAGGAAGAAACAGTAACTTTCCTCATGAGCATGTATAAATAGATGGCATAACATAGAGATAGTAAGAGGTCAAACATTGCTTTGGGTTGTAAGGCAGAGGTAGTCGTGGAGAGCCAAGATCATAAAAGAAGAAACACAACAATATAGTGCATATTTCCAGTTGTACTCACCTGGGAGTGAGATGCTCACCTGGGGATCAAATAGTGCTCTTTCTTGTGTGTTCTGTGTGAGAGTAGTCTCAGCCTTCCTGCAGGTAATGATAATGATAATATTAGCCATTTGTTCAAGATGTAAAATTTTCACACTACCATTAGCAAAAGGTTTGGAAAGAAACTCCCATCAGTACTAGAAAGAGCTATAAGATATAGTGGACTAATTTTCTTAAAAATTCTTTTAATAAGATTTTATAAATTTCAATTGATATTAATCTTGCTTATTATAAAACGCAGATTGTGTGTGTGTGTGTGTGTGTACGTTTATATATTGGATCGGATTTCCTACATTTTTATCCGATTTCAACAAAACTTCACAGGACTTACATTGCGGTGGTTCTGACAGTGCCAGAAATGGAAAAACACAATTGTTTTTGCACAAAATCAATTTGAAAACACGATAAAACACGATTCTGTCGCCAGAATGAAAGGGGGGCAACTCATCTCGAGTTATACTTATTATAAAACCCAGGTTGTTTGTTTGTGTGTGTGTTCATTTATATATGGGATCAGATTTCCTACATTTTTCAACCGATTTCAACAAAATTTCACTTTTTTTTGGCA